CCGAATGTCACACAAGCACAAACATATTACACCATCAACCCAGCTCTACATCCTGACATAATTATCAAAAGCAACATTAACTCAGAACTTGAGGCTTTAAACCAAAATTTTCATGCAGCAGCCTCAACTACTCTATGAGATTGATCTAGTCTAATAAGACAAATGTGATAATGCAGAAGATTCCATCAAATTTATAATATAGACAAGGGCAAGAGTATAGAAAGTCATAATACATTTCAAACTTAAAGGCATTGTTAGTGAACAAAACTCTCAGCCATGATTCACTTGAATGATTTTAGGCCACCCAATTTGGAACTTATATTCAGTTGGTCACTGAAAGCTCCTAAAAGCATATAGATACCATTACATTTGTGTACTTGGATGCCCATTTCATTCCCCTACCACACCAGGGTCACTTCTAACATGCTAGGATTTTCTACGTCCATTTGCAATAAGAAGATCAAAACAATAGTGATCTATGCTTTTAATGAGGACTTGGCACGTACTGTCAAACATTTGACATCTACATCTCTTCAAGGTTTTACAGATATATTCAAAGCAATATTATGTTTACTGATCCTTCTTACCACTTTATAAATCATTGATTTTTATACTCTTTATTGCCTGTTATATTCTGTGTCTATTTATCATTTAATCTTCTTTTGGGAAACCCACAAGACAACAACTTATCTTCTTTTCATGTTTGGTCACTTGAAAACAAATAAGAAAAATAGATCGACTAGAAGAAATAACAAAAATGACAGACCAGCATTCAAATAGCTCAGGAACAGTTCATGAAAAACCTTTGTTTTCTCATTTGAATAGGCCCAGGCAGGTGAAACATCTTTTATAGTAAATACTTGCTCTGGCACAGAAGATAGGAGATCACTTATCACTGGAGAAGGTACTGAATCATGGACAGATGAAATTGGGGACTCCAGAGTAGGATCACTCATTGAACCTGGAGAATCATCAATAATATAATCCATCCACCTTCCAAAGCTGTCCTGACTTTGCAAACCATCATTGACCAAAACGTCCATGGAAGCACTAGTGATCACTGGAGGATCGAAATGAAGGATGTCACTCTGAACAGTTGGAACTAATGAATTACTGAAAGAAGATTTTTCTGGGGATAAATTATAGGCTGGAAGCTGTCTTTCCTGCAATATAGTACCATTGAGCGGTTATTTCGGATATAGAACCTTAAGGAAAAAAAATGTTAATGATAGTGAGAGACCCAACAAAAGAATGGTTTTCTTTGCTGGCATAAGTGGCAAGAGGAATGGATATTTGGTAGGCATGTAAATTTTGTATAATGTAATAGGTGCTAACTTGAACAGAATTCAACATAATTTGAGTGATAAATAGGTTAGACTGATATAAATTGGTAATTAAGAAATGTAAGCTCTAAATTCAGTTATCCAATGAATATAACTGGCCAAGGACAGGGCAAGGGAACATATGAAACTTAAACTACATCAACTATATACTCTTAAGACTCCAAAGATGGTAATGTCTTACAAAGGAAAAAAGGCTAATTCAGTTCAAGGAAAGGTTTTCCTTTTCCATTTTGGTTTCTTTAAAAAAATTATTTTCTTTTTTCTTAAAAAATATATATTTTTCAAAAAAATCTATGCAGTTGGCAAAGTTGAAACTATTTTTGGAAAACAAAAAAAATCTGAAGAACAAGTTTAATTAACCTATTTTTTATTTTCATAAAATTCTAAAAGGTTTGAAATTAGTATCTAGGAAGTTTGTCCTTCAACTTTTATTTTTCACATTGTAAAGGAACTTATCAGCTCAATTTCTTATACAATATTCACATATAGCAGTTTCTCACTAACTTGTTAGATCCATTCTAACATTATTAACTAATATGACATACACAATAACATCGATAAGAATTACAGAGAAAAGAAAAGAAGTAGAAACAACAGATAAAATTTATCTTTTCTTTAATGGAAATCTAGAAGAACAATAATCCATTTGGTACAAGAAAACACTTTCTAATTTTCATTCCTAAAGATATATATGGCTATATACAGGTATTTGAGTGTGTGCCTGTGTGCCTACAATATTTTATAATTTTAAACTAATATAAATCTTTGACTTTCATTTTGTAAACATTGTCTTGGTTTTCCTTTCATATATTTACAAGAATATAGAATTAAAGTGAAAAATGCTTCACTTTCAGTTTTTAAGAAAAAAGAAAGTAGGATAAGTTTTCATGAACTAGCACAATCTAAGCTTCTGCAGGAAAGTTTCTGACAAGGTGTATTAACTGCTGCAAAAGAGAAGCAGCCAAACAAAATCATATTAGAGAAGGGACAATGGTTACAGTATGCAAGTACGATTTGAAGAAAGGTTCCACTTACATCACTCGTGGGTCCATTTACTGCAATTTGACCCTGCTGGACAAACCCTGAAACGTTGCCACCCACAAATAAAAATAAAAAGTTATTATTTCTCATATTAAGATGATGGCATTCCAGCTAGTAGAATATAATTTAGGACACCTGCTTTAGGTAGAACTGAATTAACATCATTTTTTGCCAGAAGCTCATCCCACTCAAGTGTATTGATCTCGTGAAGCCTTAGTTCATGATTTTTTAACGTCAATCTGTCTCCAGATTCTGCTGGCTCCACCAAAAAAAAAGGTTGGGGAAGTGAGGAAACATCTACTTTATAATATAAAAGTAACAGATGAATTAAAGAGCTTAAAAGCCCTGATGTTACTGTATCAGGGAATATTCTTCCATGTGAACCAAAACTCTCCGTACATAATTTTAAAAACAAAGCATGTTCTTCTGTAAGGGAAAATGCAAATTTGCAGAAAGTTCAACATCACCTAGGGATTCTTTCTCCTGTGCATAATATGCATTATCAACTCCACAATTAGTCTCTTCTGTCAAAAACCAAGGGGTTGATGGATCTGAGGTTGAACTAGAATTTGAGTTCCCAGATGTGGCTGGAGAAACCTGCATCAGCATCAACATCAAAGATATATCACATATAAAACTTATTCAAATAAACTAACTTTATTCAAACAGGTAAACAGAACCCACAAATAAAGATATGACCAAATGCATATTACTCAAAGGAAGAAAAGAAACAATCAAGAAAGAAAGAAATCTATCATTCAAAAATCTAAGAAACACAGCTGGATTGAAAAACCAACCTCTTGCGTTTCACGATAATGAACAAGGACTATATGTTCTAATTTCCTGAAACAAGATAAGCAAAAAAAAAAAAAGAGCCAAAATTCAGAAAATCATCCACAAACTTACAAAACACCAAGTGCATGGAACCAGTAACACCTAGGAACAAAGATCATACTGTCTTGTAAGAAAACATTAATTGATCATTAGATATTTATTTTCTATATCCAACAAAATAACATAGGTGACAGGTGCCTTGTAAACTTTGACCATTACATACTTATCAAGCAGCCAGTAACACCTACGAACAAAAGTTGGATTGTCTTGACCATGAGCATAATAAACATGTATCCTTTCTTCATTACCAACCTGGACAAAGAAATGAAAATAACAATCTTATTAAACTGGAGCATCAATAACAATAAAAGGTAGCATGAATTCAGAGAAGTAATGCTGTAGAGAAAACCGAGAGCTCAAGGGGAAAAACAAAGAATAACTGCGATTTTTTATCCCAAGGAATAGAAAAAAGAATCATTGATAGATCCCTTCATGAAAAGTTTAATAGCATAACAAATTTTGCAGAAAATTTAACCACTTTTATCTGTGCTCTTGTAACGACATCAATTTCAGGTTATCTGATGCAGTTATAAGCAATAGCCAAAAAAAGCGTTTTAATTTTGGTGTTAGCAGCTCCAGTTAAACATTTGGTTTACGAGGAACATGTAACTGGTTTCATTAGTAAAACGGTTTTACAGAGTAATGCAATGTTCCTGCTAGAAAACAACAGACTCATAATACCTTGTTACATGTCCAATGCATACATAATAATTGCTAATAATCATATGAACTGAGGGAACATATTGTCTACAACAAACAAACTGAGGGAACATATGGTTGGCATGAAATTTTAGAATCTACACCAAGAGAAACTCCACCAATTTTCAGAGCAATAGATTCATCTATAGCACATAACAAATAGGAAAATCTCACTTTTAAATGTTCATGAGCTTCTTTAACAGTCTTCCCATCATTTTTCTTCTTCCAGTTATGGCCATCTTTCCGGAAATTCCTCAGCATCTTACGGTCAAATAATACAATTGTTCCACCTGTCATGTTACATAAGAATCTCTATAGCAATTAAATATTTTTTGTTTTGCTTCTGATATGAGAAGAAGCTCTTAAAATCAGCTTAACACATATTCTCCAGCAACTCTTTCACTTCAAAAAACAGAAGCACAGGTGATAAATTAAACAAGAGCCTGGAAAGTCTTTAGCTTGGCAACACTTGTACAAAGCAGCTTTTAGAAAACAATCTTATAAAGCATCCACTGTAAACTAAAGGAGGACGGACAAATAACAAAACTATCACAAATATGTTGTTTACTGCTATGGTAGACGACTTCTTATGTGGGAAAACGGTAAAGAAAAACTAGAAACCAAGCCCATATCAAAACTAAATATGATAAAGAAAGTGCGCAGTAGTTACTTTTTGGCAAGTTCACTGGCTTGACATTTACGCTGAAATATTTGTAGTTACACAGAACTGCATGAATTTCATTTGGCCGAAGCCACCGTGTTCTAGCCTCCTCCCACATGGTGACAACATCCAAATCTGCCAGCAAATCCAAAACCATTAAGAAAAACAATTTTCTCCGTTTGTATTAAAGAATGCTTACGTCTTTTGAAAGTAATTGAAAGACATAAAGCAAGAAACGTGACCAGAACCTACTATGGCAGTTTAAGAAAATGATGTTGAAAAGAAAAATAACTCTCTGCAACATTTCATACATTCTATTTCATCATTTCGGGAATTTTTCCGGGCAAAACAGTTGGCAATCCTTAAACAAGAGTAAACTCTGGTTTGAAGAACCAACTGTTTAAGCTTCTCTGTTAAATCTTGGCAACTACAGAAAACACCAAAATACAAACAAACGCACGCTTTTTCTTCGAAAGGAACAAAAAATAAATAAAAGATGCAGTTCCAAAAATCCCAAAAACTCTGTAGTCTTCATTTTCTAAAATTATAGCGCAAGCGTAAACCTCTTGAGCACTATTAGTGTCACCGCTTTAGAAAGCACACTAGACATTAAATAAAATTCTCCATATGATGAAACAACAGTCCAGTCCATACCGTCCAATGTGCGGAATCCATGAATCTCCGAACCAACGAGTCGCCCCGAAACGGCGCCGTCCATTGCCGAAGGAATAAAAATCTCTCCCTCTCCTCCTCCTTCCTTCTCTCCTCCCTCTCCCTTCTCTTCTCTCTCTCGGCAGGAAATCTTTAATTG